GGCAGACAACTTGAGCATTAAAAGTGAGGTTGCAGGGTGAGGCAGGGGTTGCAGCCATTACAGCATAAGAAAGGGAAAAGTTGATCCTTGATAAACCCCCACGTTACCGGACAAATGAGTGGTGAACATATGTGGATGCTCCGGTAATAAATTAACAAACGCAAAAAAATTTAGCCGTTGATTAGCACTACAACAGTTTTGTAAGATCCATAGAATGTCTGAGACAATCACAAATTAAATTCAATTCCCAAAGCGAACAGAATTTACTGTGATTAAACAGCCCTTAAAAGTAATCAAAAGGCAAACGGTTAAGTCGATGTGCGTGGAAACGTTCCTCATAATGTTGACAAAATCCTTGAAATTGGCTGATCAAAGAAGCATCTGACCCTCCCGCAATCCGCATAGAAAATACGATACTACTACATACCAATACCGTACAAAGTTACTTACGTCATTCTCCGACGTGCCACAAAGCCAGCAGGTCTTGCACTCCAAACACTGCCACCGATAGCCTCGCACAGAGGTAATCATATTGGGAGTGAACTGGGCGCAAGAGAAATGTGCACAGCGCGTACAGTCGGAGCAACAGAGGAGGCCTTCAGGACTTGCGCCACCAGGTCGTTTAGGGTTTGAGCGCTCGTCACCTCCGCAGTAGTCACACAGCATCGCCTCAGCCAAATCTGAGTTGTCTGTGGGGCGCGGACAGTCCAATTCAATTACTAAAGGGAAAGAGAAATAGCGATAATTTTTTCCTAGCACCACTATCTCATTTTTCGTGTCACGACGACAGAACCAGAAAAAAAGCCACTAGACGACCATCCCTTCCACCAAAATGTTTCGTCATTAGTTTCCAATAAAACGAATGAGCACTGGATCAACTGGGACCACAATTCCTTAAATGTTTTTCATAGCTTTTCACCAGCTACCGCAGATCCGGTTACAATTGTGGACTCATTCGAATTGTCTATTGGTCGTCTGACTAAGATCTAATGGCTTTGGTAAAAAGAGAGAAGGCCCATACCACTTCTTTACACTCCTACTTATACCTGTTTGCCTACCGCTGAAGGCTACCAATGCTCACGAAGTCTTCAGACAGCATATTTTATTATGATTAGGAGGAACCGGGGGAAAGACCAAACCCTACCAATCAGCCATATTTTCGAATATCAGTTGCCCCTCAAAATTCGCTCAATCCAAGCCGTTCGACAAGCTTTGTTTTTGTTAGTTACCACTTTCATTGACGTACTTATTACACTTAACTAACAGGGTACAATGAAAGCGTAGAAATCGTCTCAAACTCTAACTAATGGGTCTTCAAGCAAAAAGGAAAAATAAATTAAACCACAAGCTAAAATAAAAGGAAGGAACCAGCTACAATGGTCACTTCATTGCCCCCTCAACCCACCTGCTGCCTAATAGTGTACTTAAAAGCATCATGTTCATTCATGTACCCATCGGTCCAGTGTCGTATCGTAAAAAAATCAGAAACGACTGATTGATATCGTCCCACCCTCTTCATCCAGTTACCGGCTGCTCCAGTGTAGTTTCTGCATTCATAGCAGTACTTTAAATTTGATAATGCTTAGACCCAACTCCGCTATGACCAAAATGGCTCGAGAAACAAAATTAGTCGGTGTAAACAAAACCACAAAAACCTGTCTATTAGACAGATTTGCCACCATTAGGTGGAAGAGTTAAGTGATGAGAAGAAAGGTCCCGCAATCAGCATAGGAATTTCACGAAATCATAGCAAGAATGAATGGGAAAAGAACAGCCGAACTGTTTCCCCATTCATTCATACAAAAATCTGAACATGTCATGCAACCAAAATAAAGGATCTCTCGAACGTAAACAACCCACATGCGAAATGCTATCATCAGCGTAAACTCAGTAAAATTTAGTCTGTTGAATTATACTTTTGACGTTTCGTACCAAGCCATAATCAAGAGTCATAACAAGGACTACCTGCTATAGCTGTCTGCCTTCTAGTCTGTTAGTTAGCTGCTGGTGCTGAAGTTGCAAGTGGCCCGCCCCAGTCTACTGCAACTAAAAGGAACGACGAATAGGATAACTTTCACTGACGCAACTATACAATTGGGCCTATAAGTCCAATTGCGATTGCTACCGCCAAAGAGCACAGCGGAGTGCCTTTGCATGGCCAACAAGGTGATTTGAGGTCGAGAGGATCAAAATCCAACAGAAAAAGAGAACTATTTTGTTTCAAACAGGAACCTCCAAAAACTAAGAAAATCAATTTCGAATGTTGACATCGGGAACAAAAGGCGGCAGTGAATACGGCTAAACAGCAATTCCTTCGTTCGACTAAATGGGAAGACTTATTTGACTTGAAATAGACTTTGATGCTATTTTTTAGCCAACCAGCACACTCCCTCAGCCACAATGGACCAAAAACTATGATCAATAGCACTTGAGGCAGAATATGCCCCAATTCTCAGTTGCCCTAGTTGGCACAAGAAACTGTGGTTAGTTTTCTAGGCCAAACCTCGATTGTACAATTTATTTAGGCGATTGGATCCCTTCAACCCCTAAACTCGTTACCTCATCTAATCATCTAAAAAGAGCTCTAGCTTATGATGGAGATGAAAACATGACATCAACCCAGCGCAGACGCCTGTTAATCCTTATGATCATCCAGTCTGGCATCACCTCCAAAGTGGCAATGCAGTGTCTGGAAAGGCACACATGTTCCAAGGCGGACGATGCAAAGACCACTCTTTTCAAAGCGTCCCTTTGAGTTCATAACATTATCTGAAATAAAGATCAGCTAGATTACTTTCAGAGCCGTGATGTGAGAGTGCTCATGAAACAATGTCACGCGATGAAACCGACTTTACTTTTAGGCATGTAACTTGCAGCTGAAAAATGGAAACGTTGCATTAAGTGCACTTCTGCTTAGGTAACCACTGGTTGCTTGTAAAAACAGGCCTAAAGTATTTCACCATTTTGCTTGCCAATTATCGGCCCCACAATCGAGGCACAGCATCAACAAATACAACAAAACGGTACATCATTTACCCAACCTATCAAACTTAGCACAAGGCTGGAGACGAAGGACAGAGATGGGCAAAGCAAGAACCACAAAATTTAGAGCTTAACGAGACGAGCCTAGAAAATTTGAATGCTAAAGCGAGACAACCAAAACCGGAAAACATTAAAGAGCCTAGAAAAACAATCATAAACCACAAATAGATTTTATCATGGATAATAAACGGGCGGTTCTAATGCCGCAGATACGTACTTAGGCAATTGTGGCGACAACAATGGACACCAAAATCACTTGACTTCGAGAACAGGTCAGAAAAGATGGAGCACAATGTTTATCAACTATTGACTAAGACTGCAAATTATAGAACGCAAGAAGAATAACTACACAAATTGGGACAAAATCACCCCGGCCGACGCCCCGTTCAAGATAAGACTAAATACTTTAACATACAGAAAGTCAACCCGGACAGCAGTATAAACTAATGCGGCTAAAAGTGAAACGCCTAAGTCCCCCCAAACTCAACGTAACGAAAAAACGGTACACAGGATCTTCAGAATCCTGACACGACGGTCGACATCTCGAAGAAAGTACTTCCAATGGCGCCCTTAAATGAAAGAAATTGGGCCAAAAGTGGCTAAAACAAAACAAGCGCCAGGTGACAAAGGCAAACTGGTTCGCATTTACCACAATAATGATGAAAATCGGACAAAGACGCAATTTTAAGGAATACGATGCAAAGAAAGGGATAAAGGCACCTGAAAGTTGCTAAATTATCCCTTACAGGTTTCACTGAAATCCGCTAACCAAGATTTACAAAGGCCAAGCGATGCAAAAATCGCCC